GGGCGTGCGGGCGGAGACCGGCTGTAGCCGGGGGCTCGTTGGGAGAGCAGGTGTGGGGAGAATGGGGAGAGGGCAATTTTTATTTATTTCCTTACTTCATCTGTACCCTACTTGTCTCTCCAAAGGAGGAGCGACAGTTGGTTTTATTGGGGGGGGGGATGATGCAGGGCAGGGGGTTGGGGAGGGGGCGTGAATGCGGAGGGGGCGATGGATTTGGGAGGGAGACCTTTGGGGCGAAATGAAGCAGGCTGGGAGGGGTTTTGTTGAGATATCTGAGCAAGTATGTGAACAAAACGGGTGGAGGCACACATTTATGCAGAGAAATGAAGAAGGAATGGCGGTTGGGGGAGCGGCTGTAGGGTTTTGGCCTTGCCTGTGTAGAGCTGAGTACTTGGTTTATTCTCTTTGCTTACGTTTCTCTTTGCTTACATTGTTCTCCTCTTCTCCATTTTAGCCTCACAACAATCTTGTGAGGGAGGTCAGGCTGAGTTTGTGTGACTGGCCAAAGATTGCCCAGTAAATTTCCATTGGCAGAGTGAGGATTTGAACTGTGGTCCCCAAGATCTTGGTTCTACACTCTACCCACTGTACCACACTGACTTTCTAAACAGAGTTTGAGTCCAGTGGCACCTTTAAGACCAACAAAGTTTTATTCACAGTGTAAGCTTTTGTGTGCAAACACACTTCCTCAGATCAACCAGTGCAGTTAGCTTAATATAGGAGTTGTATGCTTCCTGCGACTGCCCCCAATAATGAAAAGTGCCCCCTTTCTGCAGTAGCTGTAGTCTTACAGTCATCACCAAGGACAGCCTCATTTGGAACATGTTACAGCAATTCAGTCTCAAGGTTGCTTTTTTCCATGGATCAGTTTGGCCAAATTGGCAGCACTCTCTAAATAAGGAGGAAAGCTTAAAAGCTAAATGCAGTTAGAAAAAGATGTGGGTTCTTTTGCCACCAGTGACATTGTGTTCTTCAATAGTGAAAATTCCCTCCACCAGTGAAGAGTGTTAAATTCTCCATAATGATATACACATCCAAATTTTCTTTAATGATGTACGTGTCATCTCCTTGCTAGATTTTATGAACTGTGACTGGCAGAGCTATGGAGTCCTCCAGACGGTGGCCCTCATGGAATCCAGCAGCCGGTCGGCATCCTTAAGGGAGGCCAAACTGATATGATCCCCTACATCTATGGCCAGAAAGTATAGCGGATACCCCCAATTAAGTATCCATGTCATAGCAAACCTGAGAGATTTAATTGACAAAGAAAAAGCATAGCTGAAGACCATATGTCTATGTATGACACTGTTTTAGTGATCATCGGTACTTGAGATACCCTGAACTGAGCTTGACATGATTCAGCTGATGCAGTGTAGCAGAGAGATAAGCTTTCTTTGCTGCTATCTCCACCACCTCATAAGAGTTCAAATGGGAATTATAGCATGAGCTGCCAGTAATGTTCTAGGCATCTTCCAGGAAGTCTTCTGGAGCTTGTTATTTTAGGCCCCCTTTAGGCACCTAGAACACCCCCCTTCCAGGGCATCTTCGGGTCCATCAGTCTCGGGGGCAAAGGAAGGATGTCATCTTTAAGCTGACTGTGGCATAGTTAGCTCTGCAGCTACTCTGGACTACCAGAACCCTTCTCAGTGGAAATGATTAAATCTAACATGTGTCCTTTTCATGCATAGGCACCCAAAGCAGCCTGGAATAGGCCCATTGTAGCCATAATATTCTGACCAGGCAAGGTGGCCTCCTGAGGACTCTCAAAACCAGATCAGTGATGTCCTCTGCCAGTTCGGACAGGTTCCCATTGAAAAGGCAGGTAGATGGTAAACAAACAAGACACCTGGCCTGTGCCTTGGATCCCAGCATCAGATACACATAGTCAAGGCCAGTATTAGTTTGCTCTGTTAAAGTCCCTCAAGTCCATAAGAACTCAGTGGCTTGTTTTAGACATAACTGCAAAGCATGGTTTGTTGCTGTGACACCAAGCCCAGAAGGAACTTGGGCTGGCTTTCTTGGTTCCTGCTCCCCTGTTCTCTTCAATGTGTTAAGATGGTCATATCCTTGTTTGTGGCAAACTGTAGATTGCCAGTACATCTAAACTAGTAAACTCTAGTTGGTGCTTACCCTACAAACCAGGGCTCAGAACACAGATTTATTCCTGTTTTGGAATGCTGGTTTGCAAGACCATAGTTTGCCAGTTTGGATATAGTGACAAACTTGGAAATTATTTATTTATTTATTTATTTATTTAATTTTATTTATACCCCGCCCTCCCCGCATTTGCAGGCTCAGGGCGGCTTACAGCAGTATGGCACTCAGTGCGATAAAACAACAATAAAACAATTTAAAA